GCCAATGATGGTTTGCTGGGCAGCTGTCTCCCAGCAGGAGAAAGAGGCCTGCCCTTCCCAGCTTGCACACTGCTAATATAATTTCAGTTGGCGTGAATGTGATTCAGAATTCACCAGTAGTACAAGTAAAATCAATATATGGCTAGGGATAAAGATGAAGCCACCACCCTGAGCACAGAGATTTCAGAAAACCCAAGGACGCCTCAGAATAAGCGTGCTGACATCTTTTACTATAGCAACGCAAACATGGCCCCACGCTGCCAGACACCCTGCTGGGGTCCCTGAGCAAACGGAATTCAAACCTAGAGATGAAAATGCAGATGTCTCCAGAAGGCTGACGTCAGCAGAACATCCACAGAGGCTGTTAACCTCAGCAGATAGCAGCCCATTAGTAATCCTGGGTGGTGCATCCCGAATCCTGTATTCTATCACGCTCATTTCCAACAGCCATGTAGCATAGTGGCTAAGACACTTGCCTGCTAACCAGACGGCTGGCGGTTCAAACCCACCAGCCACTCCTGGAAGGTTGGGCAATCCTACTTCCGTAGTGATACTGCCTCGGAAACCCAAGGAGGGGTCGCTATGAGTCGGGGCTGACTCGACGGCACATAACAACAACAACAGCCACATAAAGACGGTGGACAGAAGGCCAGAGAGTAGCGTTAATGTGACGGAGAGAGTGGCCTGTAGCCCTGCCAGCCTCCCATGGAGCTTCCTCTGCCCCTCTGCCAGGTGGAACACCTTCTCAGCTCCAATGATGTTGGCTGAGTTCTTTGAGGGCAACAGAGAATCGGAGCTGAGAGCTCAGGGTCCCGACTTTATCACACATTGCTGTGTAAATGCGGACTGTGGACAAATTCTTAGGCTGCTCTAAGCCTTGGGTCCTTCATCTGTAAGACAGCCCTCTTCTCACCAGGCTCACTGGAAGAGTAAAAGTGACAAGGTTTGGCTGGTGCCATGAGTGCTCAAAGCTTCGTGCTTCCTATTATTTTGTCCCATTCATTTGTTTCCTCAGAGCGGCCAGGTGCATTCAGGCACAGAGCTCCTGAGCATCAGGGCCCTGATGTCTGACTTCAGAATATTCATTTATTTAATTCACAAATATCTGTGTGTCCATCATGCCCCAGACCTGAGATCGATACGAAGTAGCCTCTCTTCTGAAGAAGACAGTGCAAATGTACTGTGGTCAATGGCTCTCTGCTCAGAGTGGGTCCCAGGCCAGCAGCACCGGCATCACACGAAGCTTGTTGGAAATGCAGACTCTGCAGCCCCACCCTAAAGAACCGGAACCTGCATTTTAACAAGACCTGCAGGTGATTCTCATGGGTGTTTAAGTTTGAGAAGTTCTGGTCCAAGACAGTCAAAATATTTCCCCAAGTTCCGACTTCCATTCAGATTCAATGGTCCCCAAGATCCTTTTGAGTTTCAACATTTCTTTAGTTACGATGTGAAATCAATGGGCAACTCAAAAAGCTTGGATCAAATCTTGGCCTTACCCATATTTGTTGTGTGACTCTGGGACAGTTACACTGCCTCTCTGAGCCCCAGATGCCTCATCTGAATGGTGGTGATAAGACTACATCTCTGGGCTGTGTTGAAGGTGAAAGCTTCTCACATCATAGCCTTCACCTTGGTCTTTTGTCCTTTGCCCCTGGAAGGAGATGCTGTTAGCATTTTCCTTCAAGTTCCTGGTGTATATCTGCTTCCTGACCAGGGACTGAAGGCGTCTGGGATTTAGTGGGCAACCACACTCTGGGTCAGAGATCTGCCTGGCTGACTCAGAGGTCACAAACTCTGTGACCCACGGAGATGTGTTGGGACAGGCTTTGAAGAAGCTTATGACCTACCAGTCACGAGATACATCCCCGTGGGCTTCCATGCTCACTGGTTGGGCAGGACAACAAACGGGTCCCCGTGCTGGCCACTCACCCTGATTTCCAGGGTGCCTTCTGCAGCCCACTGGAAGCAGGACTGGGATTCATGCAGGAAAAGACCTTGACTTTAGAATGGCATGGGAATGAAAAAAGGAAGCAGGAAACTGACATACAGTAAAACAAAATAAAGTGACTTCAAATGTAGACTTTTAGCATGTTTTTTTTTGTACAAAAAAAAAAAAAGATTAAAATATAGCAGTTTATTAGGTTCTGACTAAACACCTTAAAACCCTAGCCTCCTTGGCTTCCTGGATCGAGGGCACACTGACATTAAGTTTGGGATCCAAGTGCTCCTTGGATTACCAGATTGTGAGAACGGCAGCACTTTTCTCTCTATCAGGAATTTTACTACTAACCAACATGTGTCTCATTTTATACACTATACAGTCTTTAAAAACGAGCTCTGGTGGTGCAGTGGTTAAAGCATGTGGCTGCTAACCAAAAAGTCAGCGGATCAAACCCACCAGCTGCTCTATGGGAGAACAGTGTGGCAGTCTGCTTCTGTAAAGATTTACAGCTTTGGAAACCCTCTGGGGCAGTTCTCCTTTGTCCTAGAGAGCTGTTAGGAGTTGGGATTTACTTGGTTTGATTTTTTTGTTCTCTATTCTTAAAAGGGAGCTCTGGTAGCATAGTGGCTAAGGCACTTGACTGCTAACCAGAAGGCTGGTGGTTCAAACCCACCAGCCACTCCCCAGAAGGAAGATCGGGCAATCTACTTCTGTAGTGATACTGCCTCGGAAACCCAAGGAGGGGTCGCTATGAGTCAGGTCTGACTCGACGGCACATAACAACAACATATTCTTAAAAAAGATTTCTCCCTCACTGAAAATGTTCCTAAGGTAAAGGATTCTTGGGGTGGCGCTTGTGTAAAGCAAACCACGCGAGGTTACTCTGAAGGCTGCAAACCCAGATTCTCACAGGCCGGGGGTGTAGCCTGGTGTGCGCGCACCTGAACCCCGCGTAGCAGGTCTGTGCGTCATCCTGAGGGGCTCCACACATTCAGTTCACTCTTGGGAGGTTTTTCAAATTAGATTTGGGAGGACGAGCCCCCAACCCGCCTGTGCGATCTTTCAGGACCGGGCTGCAGGAGGTCTTCCTGTTCTGTTGGCTGAACTAAACGCAGCTGCTGAGACCTGACCCCCTGACCCACAGAGACAGCAACTTCACATGGCTCAACCCAACACCGCAGACACTTGGCAATGTGGAAATGTGTAGAATGAACACATAGTAGCTTTGGTGTGCGGGAACACAGACAGACAACAGACTCACAGGAGACAGGTGTTATTCAAAATGCTGCTGATACAGCGGCATTCTGCCCAGCAAGGCTTCCAACCACACCCAACCAAACCATACTCGTTGCCACTGAGCTGATTCTGACTCCTAGCGACCCTATAGGACAGGGCGGAACTGTCCCCATAGGGTTTCCAAGGCTGTAGTCTTTATGGCGGCAGACTGCCTCATCTTTCTGCCACAGAGCTGGTGGTTTGAACTGCCAACCTTTCGTTTAGCAGCTGAGAGCTTAACCACTGTACCACCAGCGTTCCTTATCTTCTCTACAAGTCCAAGTCCCAAGATTCATTAGCAGGAAGAATGCAGAGCCTTAACTGTGACCACAAGACTCCCCCTGGTGCTATTCTTTAGGCAAGGAAGACTGGGTAACCCTGTGGAGCATGGTCTAATGTTTAACTCCATTCCATTTCAATGAGCTCATTCTCACCTATTTTGTGAATGTCTTCAATAACACGGCATCTCCCAGCATAACAGAAAATGTGGCTTTGATGAAAATATTTATCAAGGATGTTTGCAGCGTGTACCAGGATGATCCTGACAACAACTCAAGGTCCTTTCCACTTCTAAGATGCTGAGGGCAGACTGGCCAATGATGACCAACCATGGGAACAAATTAGTAATCGTGGATTTCCACAACTTGTTTGTGCAATGAAAACATACCGTCTTCAG